ATGAGAGCTTGTCCCTGGGCATGGAGAAGGAAAGACCATCCCTGCATTCCTTCCAATATCTAATTTTATTTATAGCTGGGGCAAATTTCAAGCAGTGCATTCTCCCTTCCCTGCCTTAATCTAGCCCTGGATTATTTTTTACCTTTTTCTATTCCTGGACGCTCCACCGGACCACCTCTCTCATCAGAAACTTTCTCTAGAGTAAGAGCAACCCACAGGTTGGAAACCCCTCATTCCTTGTACCTTTGTAACCTTCTTCGCATCATGGCTAAGGGCTGAATCCACATGCTCCTGGGACTAATAAGGTTGAGCTGAACTGAGCCACAGGGGAACAGAAGGGAGAGGTATCCACTGCAGTGCCCCCAAAGAAATCACATGTCAAACTTGGGAGGGGTAGGTTGAGTCACAGCAGGGTCACAGCCAGGACATACATTCCATTTGGGTCCCAGTTGATCCCCTCCTACATCATTGCTTTCCTGCCCCATCTTCCTGTCTTGGTGCACCCCCTTGTGGCTTCTGATGGAACAGCCAGGTCTTTTCACCTATAGCTTAAAAGCCTCAAAAAAATCAGTAGTGCAAAATTTGTTTTCAATTTTTGTTTTTCAAAATGCCTCTTCTTTATAAGCCTTAAAATTACTCTGGGGGCTGGGATTGTGGCTCAGCGGTAGAGCGCTCGCATAGCACGGGCGGGACCCGGGTTCGATCCTCAGCAACACATAAAAATAAAAGCATTGTGTTGTGTCCATCTACACCTAAAAAATTGAAAAAAAAAATATATAATAAAATAAAATAAAAAAATTACTCTGGGAGCCGGGCACAGTGGCACATGCCTGTAATCCCAGTGGCTAGGGAGGCTGAGGCAGGAGGATTGCGAGTTAAAAGCTAGCCTTAGCAAGATCAAGGTGCTAAGCAACTCAATGAAACCCTGTTTCTAGATTCATATTCTTTTGTGTGTGTGGTGCTGGGAATTGAACCAGGGCCTTAGTGAATGCAAGGCAAGCACTCTACCAGCTGAGCTACATCCCCAGCCCGAAACCCGGTCTCTAAATAAAATACAAAAAACAGGGCTGGGGTTGTTGCTCAGTGGTCACGTGCCCCTGAGTTCAATCCCTGGTACCAAAAAAAAAAAAAAAAAATTACCCTGGGAAGCCAGGTGCAGTGGCATACACCTATAATCCCAGTGACTTTAGGGGTTGAGTTGAGACAGAAAAAAATCACAAGTTCAAAGCCAGCCTCAGCAATTTAGCAAGGTCCTAAGCAACTTAGCAATACCCTGTCTCAAAATGAAAAATAAAAGGTTGGGGTTGTAGCTTAGTGGTAGAGCACTTGCCTCACACGGGTGAGGCCCTGGGTTTGATTCCCAGTACCATGTTAAATAAATAAATAAATAAACAAACAAACAAATAAATAAATAAACAAACAAATAAAAGATATTGTGTCAATCTACAACTAAAAAAAAATATTTTTTAAAAATGAAAAATAGGGGCTGGGGATGTGGCTCAAGCGGTAGTGTATTCGCCTGGCATGCGTGTGGCCCGGGTTCGATCCTCAGCACCACATACCAACAAAGATGTTGTGTCCGCCGAAAACTAAAAAATAAATATTAAAATTATCTCTCTCTCTCTCTTTAAAAAAAACATGAAAAATAAAAACGGCTGGGGATGTGACTCAGTAGTTGAGCACTCCTAGGTTTAATGACCGGCCCCAAAATAAATAAATACATAAATAAATAAAATTACTTTGGGGAATAATGTCAGGAAAAGTAATATAACTGTTTTCAGAGAAAGAAACTGGCTAGGATGAGGCAGAGGAGCCAGCTTCTAACCTCCCATGGTTTTCTCTCCTACACCTTAAGGCCCTCTGTTCCTCCATTCCAGTGGGTAGGGGTGGACAGGACTCTTCTCTGCATGGCACCTAGCTGATCTTTTGCCTCTTTGTTCTTCCTGTGGCCATAGAGAATCCAAAGGAGAGTAAACCCCAAGGAGGCACCACTCATCCACAGGACGTGAACCGCAGAGACCACCAGAAGAATCCAGGGACCTCCACCACTCCTGCTCGGCACAATCCTGGGGGTGTCCAAGAAACTGAGATGGTGAGTCTGGGGCTGGTAGGAGCAGGAGAGGTGGGGAACCCTGGAGACTTCTATCTCAGACTGCTTCTGGTGGCTTGGATAAGTCTCCAGTGTTGGTCTGGGGGATCCTGGCTTGTGGGGCCCTGAGCCACCGCTCTCCCTCCCCTAGGGCCCCTGCCGCAGACACCTGGACTCAGTGCTACAGCAACTCCAGACTGAGGTCTTCAGAGGGTCTCACACCCTCTATGTACCAAATTGTGACCATCGAGGCTTCTATCGGAAGCGGCAGGTAAGATGAGGCCTTTCCTCCCCAGTACAAGGAATGGGGAGGGGCACTTACAGAGTTGCCTAAATAAGACACTGTCCCTGCCTATCAGGATTTCCAACTTTAGCACCCACACAAACATAAAGAATAATTAGGGCTGAGGATTGTGCTTCAGTGGTAGAGCTCTTGCCCAGCATGCACAAGGTCCTGGGTTTAATCCCCATCACTGAAGAAAAAAAAAAATATCTAAGTATACATTGTGGTAGAGGACTTAAAGTCCCCAAGGAGTGGCCTCTCAGTAGCTCTCAAACTTGAGGCCCAGAATCATCTGGAAGGCTTGGGAACACAGATGGCTAAGCCCTACGTGCAGAGTTCGGACTCAGTAGGTCTGGGACAGGGTCTGAGAATTTATATATCTAATACATACCCTAGTGCTATTGGTGCTGTTGGTTTGGGAGTCATACTTGAAAACTCTTTTCTGTCCTAGCAGAATGGGTACAACTTAATGGGTGAAGAGGGGGAAGGGAAACCAGGGCCCTACTGTCCTGAGGAACCTGAGGTATTTCTGAATACTCAGGCTGCAGAGTTCCGTCCCACCTCGGGCCTCACCCTTCATCTGTGTGCCTCTCTCCCCAGTGTCGTTCCTCCCAGGGACAGCGCCGAGGCCCCTGCTGGTGTGTGGATCGGATGGGCCAGCCTCTACCCGGGTCTCCAGATGGCAATGGAAGCTCCCTCTGTCACACAGGGGGCAGTGGCTAAAGCAGGGTGGGGAGCAGCAGGGCCAGTGGCAGGAGCGTGGGGCTGTCATCTTGGGTTATTAAGTGATAAGTAACTCAGGGGCTTTGAGTCCCACCATACACCTTCAGGCCCTGTGTCATTGTCCCCCTCACTCCTGGGTCCTATTTCACATCTAGTTGAAATAATTGTTGGTATCAGCCTGGGAGGTTAATAAAGCTGTGTTGGGGGTCTCCGGCCTGTGTCTCTGTGTCCACCTCTCACTGTTCTAAAGCCCCAGGCCCTGTCTCCCACAGCAGCCCACTCATACCATGTCCCCCTTCCCTATGTACTATCTTCAGTCCCTCGCACTGCACTTGGGAGGACTTGCAGGACACAGCAAGTAGCACCGCATGGCGCTGTCAAGCCTCCTTCAGCTCTCCACTGGGAGGTAGAGAGAAGGGAGACACTGAAATCATGGCCTCCATCAGAGGTCGTGACCTAATTTCCAACAATGATCTTTGGACATGGGGGAGGGGAAGGATTAATAGTTAATCCCCAACAGGAACTCATCAAAGAAAAATTCTCAAAACACCCATTTGTTACTACAAACAGAGGAAGGAAAATATTTATTGAGCCCATTTCCACGGATCAGGACTGAGCTGTGTGATTTTGACTTGGACTACTTATTTTGGGCTTCCAATAACCTCGTGAGGTAGGGAGTTTTTGCCTCCATTTTTCAAAGGAAGCTTAAATAGTTTGAGTCATTTGCCTGGAATTACAGGGCTAGTAAATAATAGAGAGAAGTTTACATCTGGTTCTTCAGTGTCAAGTAAAAACTTGTTTGGTTTCCCTTCTGCCTGTTAACCCAAGCAGGTGTAGGACAGAGCTGACAATCAGGGGCCCTAGCACCCAATATTTCCTAGAGGTGGTCACACGTACCACCCGCCATCAGAATATTATTGCCCACCTCGTCTCACGGTCTCAGGAGGCCGAATGCACTGATACAGGAAGATGTTTTTAACTCCTCCCTGACCTTCAAGCCTGTGGGAGAATGACTGGAAAGCAAACTGTGATAAGTGATAAGCCTCAGAGAGGCAAAGTCCCCCTTCCAGCCTCACACAGAGCCACCACTCCTGTGGGAGGGAGAGCAGGTTTGGAGCTGAGTGACTGGGTGGTGGCGTTGGGGGGATGAGGCCCTCTCGGTGACAGCCAGCAGGGCAGAACTGGCTCTGAGAAGCCCTGTCTTGAGATAACCTACTGTGTCCTGGAGGTCCCCTCCACCTGAAAGGACTTTAGCCTCTGGAGCTGCCAGCTGAGCTGAGTGGGACAAGAGCTCGGCAGGCTGGCTGTGAAGGAAAGGAGGGAGCACAGGCCACAGCCACTTGCTGCCCACTCAGACTGGCATATGGAACCAATGGGGACTCATTTGCGGAGGAGAGAAGGGCTGGGAGGGGAACCGGAGGAGCGACCCTCTGGAGAAGGTGAGCCACCCTCAGGGAGGGCACAAAGCTCAGGGCTGGGGATGCACTGTTGAGCGGGGCCTCCTACCGGCTAACTTCAACCCTTCCCCTTGTACTGGGAGGAAGGGAAGGCAGATGCTGGTGTCTGCCCCACACGGCTCAGCCTAGATGTGGAGGAGAAAAGGGCCATTCAGAAAGGTGGTCTTCTCTTATCTTTCTGACCCTTTAACCAGAGAGGGTAATGGAATAGCTTCGTATTCCCTGGGGCCCCTGTTTCCAATAATGTCATCATATCCCTCTTGCCAATGGCCTCTTCATCTACAAAAATAACTTCCTCTTCTACTTGCCCCACCAGAGATACTAGATATTGACTGATTGGGAAGAGGGGAGGCTGCTAAGCTACAGAGGTGTTTCCTGTACAAAGCATACCCCTGGGTCTACAGAACCCTAACTCCTCCCCCTTGAGTGTTCCCTTTGACCCCCTCCTCCTAGGAAACACTGAGACGCACAGAGCCCCAGACTTGGTGCAATGGACCCGACATATGGAGGTGAGGGACCTCAGAGACCTGGGGTCAAGATGGACAGGTCCTTGGGGTGGCAGGAGGCAAGGAAGGGTGAGGACTGGCTTGGTAATAAAGATGATTTGTTCTCAAGTGCAAAGTTCAGATTAGAGCCCAGCACAGTGACTCACACCTGTAGTCTCAGTGACTTGGGAGGCTGAGACAGGAGGATTACAAGTTTGAGGCCAGCTGGGCAACTTAGTGAGACTCTGTCTTAAAAACTTAAAAGGGCTTAGTGGTAGAGTGCCCCTGTGTTTAATCCCCAGTACTGCAAACAACAAACATTAGGTTGGAATTAAGGGTTAAGATGGCAGACTTTGAAAAACAGGTTCTCGAGATGGGACAAAAGTCAGCATATAGAGTGTTAGTGAGGTTAGAGGTCAGAGGTAAGCAAATAAGGATTGGAAACGACCTGATAGAAATTCAGACCCAGGAAGTGGGAGGAGCATTGCTCCTCTGGTCATTCCCTTTTTTGGGAGAAAGGGGGATACCAGGGATTGAACTCAGGGGCACTCAGTCACTGAGCCACAACCCAGGCCTATTTTGTATTTTATTTAGAGACAAGGTCTCATGGAGTTGCTTAGTGCCTCACCATTGTTGAGGCTGGCTCTGAACTCGTGATCCTCCTGCCTCAGCCTCCTGAGCCACTGGGATTACAGGAGTGTGCTACCCCGCCCAGCTCTGAGGTCATTCTTGATTTTCACTGATGTCACAGGAAGCCAGGAGGCAAATGGCTGGGGAATCTCTGGGCATGGCTTGTCATCTTTCTACCCCTATCACTTGGCATAGAGAGAAGCTAGGTAAATGTCTGGTAAGTGAAAAGAAATCTGGCTGGCTGGAGGAACAGTGGACTTTTGTCCTGTAGGCAGTGAAGATGCAATTGTTGGAGCAAGCACAGGAAAAGCTGGTGGAGCTGCTGGATCGGGCCATATGGGAGGCCATACAATCCCACCCGCCACAAGACAGACCTCTGCCCTCCCCTTACCCAGCTCCCTTAAGCAAGTGAGTCTGAGGATCCAGAAAACTGGGGAATGACTGCAGGGTGCTCAGAAGGACCCTGAGCCACAAACGTGTACCTTTTGCCAGCTTTGGCATGGCCTTGACCTCAGGCTCCCCACTTCTCCCCCATTGCCCTGACTCCCTGATACTAACCTCCACCTTCTGGGCCTTGCTCTGCCCTGATCCTGATCTTCACCTGATACTACCCTGGGCTCACACGAACTGACCTTCTGCATGAAGCTGTCCTCTGCCCACTGCCTTCTTCCTCTGGAGCCTGACCCTAACCARCTGTTTTAATTCAGGACCCAGAAGCCATCCTTTGGGAGACGGAAAGTTTTCGTCGTCCGCAAATCCTTGCTTGAGTAAGTCAGGGGGAGATAGGAACAGGAGGAAAAGAAAGAGCTTCAACTGGGGATCAAGGATACCTTGTTTCTTATTCCTAGGCTCTAGGTGGCTTGTGGGGAGAATCGGAGAGGGTTTCTAAGGCTCAGTTCCCACTGTTTGCCCTGGATGTGCTTGTAGAAGAAAGGAGATCTGGATGAGAAGTCTCAGCCATATCTCAGAACTTAGCTGGAAGTTCTGGATCAGTAGACCCCATGTCCTTCTGTGTACAATACTTGATCTAGTCCATATGACCCCAAAGGCTGTCCCATACTGACCTTAGGTCCCTGTCTCTCCAGTGAGCTGATGGAGGTGCAGCATTTCCGTACCATCTACCACATGTTTATCGCCGGCCTGTGTGTCTTCATCATTAGCACCCTGGCCATYGACTTCATTGATGAGGGCAGGTAGGCCCCCCTCCTGCCTGGGATAGGCACRTCAATCAGATCAGACCCTCTAGCTCCCAGTACTCCATGTGCCCCTGACCCCAAAGGGCATATGCTCTGATTGAGGACATTCACCAGCAAACTTCTCACATAAAACACTTTTATACTCCTGCCCTCCCTGGCCTTGGATGGCCCTTGAGCTCTCTTCCCGGGGCCAGACATTCTGGGGATACCATGCCCCCACTTTTTTCTCTTTCTTTCTTTTGGGGAATATCAGGGATTGAACTCAGGGGCACTTAACCACTGAGCCACATCCCCAGCCCTGGCTTTGAACTCRTGATCCTGCTACCTCAGCCTTCTGAGCTACTGGGATTACAGGTGTGGCCACTGCATGCAGCTTCTCAATTGTAATCTTGCCTGGAGGCAGATGTAGGTGTGTGCTTATACATGTAYCCTCAAACACTCCTTTCCAAGTAGGTCTGTTAAGTAACCTTCATCATCATGGAGTACCTACTGGCTCCCATGAGCCATTGCTGATCTTGTGGGGAAGACAGACATGTGCAATGTCTTGGTTGTTTTTTCCACAGAGCATCCCCTCCCTATTCTGATGATGAGCCTCAGAGTGCTGCAAATTCCTGGGGTCTGTATTTTCAAGACTTCCACCTTCCCCCTGACCTCACCTTAACTTGGGCTTAAGAAGCAGTAAAAGACAGAGGACCAATTATGCTCACCTAGCATTCCCTGAGTTAGATCCCTGTGCCTCAAATACACACAAACAAACAAACTTCAAATACACTTTTTATTGTAAAGTGATAGTCCTTCTTGAGCATTTTTCATGCATGCGCGTGCGCACACACACACACACACACACACACACTTCAATGAGATGTATGTTGTGGGAGTTTGTTTTATTATTTATTTAGTTAGTTAGTTTTAGTTGTTGTCAGACCTTTATTTTATTTATTTATATGYGGTGCTGAGAATCGAACCCAGTACCTCACACATGCCAAGCAARTGTGCTACTGCTGAGCCACAGCCTCAGGCCTGTTGTGGGAKTTTTTATAAACTCTTGTTTTATATCTATTATTTTGCAATTTGTTTTTWCACTGAACAAATTTCTTAGGGATTTTTCCATGTCAATCCACTGATTTTAGCAACTCCAGAGTATGGAGGTTCCAGATTTTGTTCATTTAGTTCTTTATTAACAGATATTTAGGTTATTTCTCATTTTTCACCTTTATAAACCATATCCCTTCCCTCATCTCCCATGCTGAGGATGGAACCCAGGGCCTCATCCCAGCCACATCCCAGCTCATAAACCATGTTCTGTTAACCTAGGGAAGCAACAAACTGAACAATTTACATTCTTTTAGCATGGGTCTACAACTACAGACACTCTAAAGAAATAAAACTAGTGAAAATCAAAGTTGAATTCTAAATACCTCATACTATAACATTTGGGATATACAGAGTACTGAACCCCACAAAATTCACAAAGGCCTCCAAGAATCATTTAGAATCAAATCCATTCCATGGCTGGGTCTCCTGAGGCAATGCCCTGGCTAGATTTGCCAGGCAGCAGAAACATCTTGATCACCTTCCCTGATGGGGCTTGCACAGCCTTCCCAAGGCACCTCTGTTGCTGTGGTGGCACACACCTGTAATCCCAGCCAGGAGGGAGACTGAGCCAAGGCAATCACAAGTTCAARGTCAGCCTGGGCAATTTAGTGAGATCCTGTTTCAAAATTTAAAAAAGTAAAAAGGGCTGGGGATATAGCTCAGTGTAGGGCCCTTGCCTAGTATGTTTAAGGCCCTGGGTTCAATCCCCAGCACCAACAAACAAACAACAAAAGCCCCGGCAGCTTATCCTCCAAGATCTCTGACTCAAGAGCACGGGGATCAGGATGGGCTACACTTTTGTCTACAGTCTCTCCTTCCCCCAAGGCTGGTGCTGGAGTTTGATCTGCTGATCTTCAGCTTCGGACAGCTGCCCCTGGCGCTGGTGACRTGGGTCCCCATGTTCCTGGCCACTCTGCTGGCGCCCTACCAGGCCCTGCGACTGTGGGCCAGGCCCAGGACAGGGGGCGCCTGGATGCTGAGGGCGGTCCTGGGCTGTGTGCTGCTGGCTGCCCACGCTGCGGTGCTCTGTGTGCTCCCAATCCACGTGGCASTGAAGCATGAGCTCCCGCCAGCCTCGCGTTGCATCCTAGTCTTTGAGCAGGTGAGGACAAGCCCCGCTGCTGGCAAGCCCAGCGTGCAGGGGGAAGGGGTACAAGCCAAAAGCAGGGCCATTTCTGCAGAGGGTGAGCCTGGAAGAGGGGCRTGGCCCATGTGAAGGAGGCGTTTGATGGTGCTGGAGGACGTGGAGCTAGTTAATAGGGGCATAGTCAGCTAGGAGGATTTGTGGAATCCGCAGGCTCTGAACAAAAGTAAACTAAAGGGGCAAGGGGCAAACCACAGAGGCAGACTGATCTGTTCAGAGGACATATTTTTCTTTTTGTCTGATCATCTGATAGTCCAACACGGAAGGCTTCTGGGAGGGAGGGGTAAAGTGGGACAGGAGAGGCTAGGGTGGGGTCTGCCTCGGTGGTAAATGAGAGCAGAGAGGTTAAGTGATTTGCTCAGAACCACAAGGCAACTTGACCTCCCTTTTACTCCACCCCAGGTCAGGCTCCTGATGAAAAGTTACTCCTTCCTGAGAGAGGCTGTGCCTGGGACCCTTCGTGCCAGAGGACGTGAGGCCTTTCTCTGACCTTGTCATGAACTTGGCCTTCTTGGCTGGTTGAAGGAAGCCAGCAGTTACAGGATGCTCATAAAACTCTGCRCTCCCAAGCTGGTCTTGGCCAGCAGACACAGCTCTGGCCTCCAGCTGGGCTCTAAGGCCTTAGTCATTAGAGTTCTCAGGCCCCACCTCTGAGAGACCACACTTTGTTACCCAAGATTTCTGGAGTTTAGACCTGGCGTTGTGAACTTTCTATGAGAAAGTCAGAATAGAAGGGGAAGGAGCCTGGGAATTTGTGGCTGCCAAATGCAGCTCTGGCCACAGCAGGTCCTGTGCTAGAAAATGGGGTGCCTGGAATGGGAAAGAGGGGGTATGAAATAGCAAATTCAGCTCCTGACCCCCTAACTACTCCTCCTGCCTGAATCTGGACCCCATATCCAGCCTCTCACCCATCTACCCTGTGCTATGTGTCTCTCTATTCTCCAATCCCATCCCCTTCCCCAGCAGCCCATTCACCTCTGTTCTCTGCCTTTCCCTTCCTGATCCTTCTCATTCCTCCCCAGGTGAGGGCATCTGGGCCCCCAGTTTCTCCAGCTACCTCTACTTCCTTTTCTGCCCCACACTCATCTACCGGGAGACTTACCCCAGGTAAGACCCTGCAACCCCTCCCCAAGTGCCTAGGCCCATCAGGCACCTTGACCTTTAACTCATCTCTCACCCCGGGCACTGGCCACTTGCTCAGGAGGCATCCCATAATAAAGATGGGMAATAAATGGGAGGTAGACTAGCCCTTTTCCTTGTGCAACCTATCATTGACGCTAGGATGATTAACTGTCCTGGTTTTCCCAGTTCCGTTCTGATTTTCATACTGAAAATTCTACACATCCCAGAAAAYTCCCAATGTTGAGACCCAAGCTATAACTTCACTTGATGTCATTGTTATGAAAAGTCTAAAATGTTCTAGACCCCTATCCCTCCGGATAATCCACCCAGGCCTGAGCAACTGAGGGAGCTGCAGAGAGAGGGCCACAGGCCTGAGCAAGAAATGACACAAAAGGACAAGAAGCATATTATTCTTTTTGCTGCTACAGGACACCCAGCGTCAGGTGGAATTACGTGGCCAAGAACTTTGCCCAGGTCAGAAGATGGTAAAGAAGGGTGGCCAACTGTGATTCATGGTGGCTGGGGGAGACCTGGGGAGGAGGGAGATGGTGGTACCAAGGGAAGAGAGAGGAGAGGCTGGGCCAGAGGTTCAATTCCAAGGCAAAGAGCCAGCGCCAGCACCCCCTCATAGTGTATGTCCCCACTCTCTCTGTAGGCCCTGGGCTGTGTGCTCTATGCCTGCTTCATCCTGGGCCGCCTCTGTGTTCCTATCTTTGCCAACATGAGCCGGGAGCCCTTCAGCACTCGGGCCCTGCTGCTCTCTATCATGCATGCCACTCTGCCAGGTAAGTCATCCAGGGTGGGCAGGAGAAGGTGGGCCCTGGAGAAGGCTTAGCAGGGAAGGCCTTGCTCTTTGCTTTTGCCAGATCCTCTCACATCTCTCCCGCCTGTCCATGCTCATTGCCATTGTCTCCATTCAGCCCCCTCAACTGTCTCCCTACCCCCCCCAATCTTTCCTCTCCCATCTGTGAACTGATGGATTCCCTGGTGAATTTCTGTATATACCCTCCCTTGCTTCAAAAATATCACTATTCTAGCACTAAATAAGGCCTGTTTCAGATTTTCTTTTTTTTCTTTTCTTTTTTTTTAGTTGTAGTTGGACACAATGCCTTTATTTTATTTATTTTTATGTGGTACTGAGGATCGAACACAGTGCCTCACACGTACTAGATGAGCGTTGTACCTTGAGCCACAACCCCAGCCCCTGTTTCAGACTTTCTTTTCAAAACAAAACAAGACAAAAAACCTGATTCCCATTGTTGACATGAGATTTAAACCATTGATCTGTTCAGGCTTGGTGGCACACCACGCTGTAATCCCAGCTACTCAGGAGGCTGAGGCAGGAGGATTACAAGTTTGAGGCCTTAGCAACTTGGCAAGACCTTTTCTTAAAATAAAAAATAAAAATAGAAAGGGCTAAGAATATAGCTCAGTGGTAGCACATTCCTGGGTTTAATCCCCAGCACCATAAAATAAATAAACAAACAAATAAACCTTTAGCCTGGTACTCAAGGCCCCTTCCTATGTGATCCTAGTCTTCCTTTATTTTATTTATTTATTGATTGATGTCTCACTATGTTACCCAGGCTGGTCTTGGATTCTTGGCTCAAGTGATCCTCCTGCCTCAGTCTCCCAAATAGCTGGGACTACAGACATCTCACGTCACCCTGCTAAGCCTTTCTTTTTCAGCCATCATTTATGGTGACCCACCCCTTGCTCTGCACTTCCAAGCACATCCATGGCCACCATAATTAGCTGCCATTACATTTGATCTTGATACATGGTTGGACATGTCTGTCTCTTTGTTTGTGTCTCTCCAACTACTCTGAGAACTCCCAAAGACCAAGGCTTTGAGAATCTTTTTTTTTTTTTTGGTGGTTCTGGGGATTGAACCCAGGGCCTTGTGGATGCGAGGCAAGCACTCTACCAACTGAGCTGTATCCCCAGAATGGCAAATCATTTTTGTATTTCCAACATCTGGCATGGAGTAGATGTCAAGAACATATTCATGAAAAAATGGGTGAATTAACAAATGTATGAATATATGAACAGTTAATGAATGCTTGGTAAGAGTTGGGCCCTCGTTGTTGGTCAGGGCGGCCTGGAGGTCCAGGCTGGTTGGACAGCAGCCCTTGTCCTCACTGCCAGGCATCTTCATGTTGCTGCTCATCTTCTTCGCCTTCCTGCACTGCTGGCTCAATGCTTTTGCAGAGATGCTGCGGTTTGGAGACAGGATGTTCTACAGGGTGGGTCCTGGACCTGAGCTACCTGAAAACTGGAGGCAGGAAGAGTTAGGGAGGGTTGGGGTGATGATGGCGTTTGGGTGTCACCTAGCTGTGCTATTAAGCTCCCACATRAGCAATGGAGTTTTTAGGTGTAGGAATGATGTGTCCCCTCCACTATCTGACCATCCAGRGCTAGTTGCTTTTATGGGAATGGTACCATGGAATCTTCTTAAGATGGTGGGGTAGGAAAGAGGGCAGGAGGGAGCTGGGGTGATAGGGGAGAGAGTATAGGCAGAGGGGGCAGTGGGAAGGAGCTGGGGCCTAGGATGCTTATCTCCTTTCCCCACCGAACTCCACTCCCTCCCCAGGACTGGTGGAACTCAACATCCTTCTCCAACTACTACCGCACTTGGAACGTGGTGGTCCACGACTGGCTGTACAGCTACGTGTATCAGGATGGGCTGTGGGTATGGGCCCTGCAGACCCCTTCATGTCCTATAGGAGAGGCTCTCCAGAGCACCCTCCCCCACCGTCCCGCTGCACCATCAGCTCCTTATCAAACCTGAGGGCCCTGGAGACAACCTTTCTCCATTCTACCCAACCCAATAGGCAGAAAGTCTTCCTTACGACCTAACTTCCTTCCTTCTTTACTCCTAATTTCACCCTCTCCACAAGATATTTCTTTCCTTCTTAGCCTTTGAAGGAACATGCGTAGAGCAATTTTCAGTTACCAAGAGTTTTCACATGCATTTCATTAGCACAGTTAATCCTGAAAAATTGCTGCCAAGGCCCAATAAGCTAATTCAATGCTGCTGAACAAGACTGATGTTAAGCCCTTTGGACCCCAGATCCCATATTCTTTCCATCACTCCACATTCCCTCCTGGCTTCCTTAAAAGGAGGCTCTTAGTGAAGGGGTGCAGGGAGACTTACTCCCCACTCCCCTTCTTGCTCTGCCAGCTCCTTGGTGGCCGGGGCCGAGGGGCAGCCATGCTGGGCGTGTTCCTGGTCTCTGCAGTGGTGCATGAGTACATCTTCTGCTTTGTCCTGGGATTCTTCTACCCCGTCATGCTGATGCTCTTCCTTGTCATTGGGGGTGAGCTTGGCCTCTGTGCCACTGGAGAGGAAGTCTTCCTCCTGCTTCTGGGGATCCCAGAAGCTGCTGGGTTTGCGGGTGGGTTAGGGAGGGACTTGGGAACAGGGAGGGAGGCCACAGGGATGTCTCGAGGGATGTGGGAGAAGTTTTCTGGTTGGAGAGTATTTGAATAGGGGACATAGATGGAGACAAGGGGAAAAAACTAGAATGTGGTTTGGAGGTTCAGTGTGAGATCCAGGATATTGAGGTGGAAGCTGAGTAATCCTGGTTCACATGAGTCACTTGAGATCTCCAAGAATTTCTGAAGCTGGGTTCAAGGTCTTCCCCAATGAGGCCTTCCTGCCCCAGCACTTCCCAGTACCCTGGGATGGGGGGGGAAGCCAGGGAGACAATGCACAGGGATCTGGAGTGACAACTTTTTCTCCTACACCAGGGCTACTGAACTTCACAATGAATGACAGGCACACGGGCCCCGCGTGGAATGTGTTGATGTGGACCTTACTCTTTCTGGGCCAGGGCATCCAAGTCAGCCTGTACTGCCAGGAATGGTATGCACGACGGCACTGTCCCCTGCCCCAGGTAAGAGAACACAACCCTCACCCGGTTGGTTCCCCATCCCCAGGCGGACACACCCAATAGCCAGCCACAGTGGTTCTCAATTCAACACCCAAAGTCAGGGGCCAGGGCCTGTGGTTCTCATGTCTTGGATGCACCAAGGTGGGTCACCAGAAATGACTTCATTCACAATCCATCCTTCTCTGGTACAGACAACCTTCTGGGGGCTGCTAACACCTCGATCTTGGTCCTGCCATGCCTAGAGGTCAGGACTCTTGCTCCATCCAGATGACACCATCAAGCTCTTCTGTACCTGCAAAGTCTGAGACTGAGGCTCTTCTCTACACTCTCATACCTGGCTCTGAGTCAGGGGACTTGCATGTAGGGTCTCACCGAGGAGTTGCAGGGACTTGGGTCTATGGCCCTGCAGGCAGCCGAGCACAGATTCTGCATAGGGGGAGACTCTTCAATACCCACTTCCATGAATTGGGCACAAGTTCCCCTCATAACTGATGGCTTGATAGACTTAGGGAGACTTGAGGGAACCTTACAGATTTGGTGAATGTGGAGGGACTCAGAGCAACAGGGGCCACCAAGATTTGAGAAGGGTTTGGTTTTTGATTTTATATACTTCTCAAAACAACAATAAATTATTTGTCTCCCTTTTTATCCATTCATGTGTTTATTTATTCATTCATCATTTGTTGAATTTTCACTTTTGTGCCAGGCACTGTTGAAGTGTTGTATTTGCAGAAGAAAGAACTTGTTGCAGGAAGGACTGAGAATCTGAGGTGACACTCTGGTTTACCTCCTCTATGTCAAACCCCACCCCCACCCCCGCAAACCCTGACTTAACACCTCTGCCACTTCTGCTCCTTCTCCAGTGCATGTGTCCATATTCCATTAATTCTTCCACTCCTGGCAACATCTGGCACACTCTTGAGAGTGCATACAGCMGGCCTCCTTTCCTTTAGCAGACCAGGAGAGGAAACTTCTGATAGACACGTGGCAAGTCTTTTAATTTGAAGAGCCTGTTTTCACAACTATAAAATGGAAATCAAATTAGGGAATGGGCTGATTGTATGGGGACAGAAGTTCAAAACATTTGCATGCAAATATGCTTCAGAAACCAAGCCAGGCATGGTGGTGCATGCCTGCGATCCCAGTGACTCTGAAGGCTGAGGCAGAAGGATGGCAAGTTCCAGGCCAGCTTAGCAATTTAGCAAGGCCCTAAGCAACTTAGCAAGACCCTGTCTGAAAATAAAAAATAAAAAGGGCTGGGGGTGTAGCTTAGTGATAAAATGTCTCTGGGTTCAATTCCCAGCCACCCCCCCCACACACACACAAAAAAAAAAAAATTCCAGAAACCAGACTCTGTGGTCTGTCTTCTCCACAGGGATTCTTCACCTATCCTGCTATCCTGGTTCTGGGGACTTCTGGGTGTGGAAGGGAGGGAACATTAACCCCAGGATGAGTGAGCAAGTGAGAACCGAAAAGCAGAGTCCCTAAGAGAGATGGAACACTGTTTTTGTTTTTGTTTTTCACATTTCAACAGTGTGTATGACATCTTTYCATGTCAAATATAGATCTAAAAAAATAAACAAATACAATTAAAAAATAGTCCCAGCAGGGGCTGGAGTTGTAGCTCAGTGGTAGAGGCACATGTGTGAGGCACTGGGTTTGATCCTCAGCACCACATAAAAATAAATAAAATACWGGTATTGTGTCTATCTACAACTTGAAAAAAAAATAATAATCCCAGTGGCTCAGGAGGCTGAGGCAGGAGGATCGCGAGTTCAAAGCCAGTCTCAGCAATGGTGAGGCGCTAAGCAATTCAGTGAAACGCTGTCTAAATAAAATACAAAATAGGGCTGGGGAAGTGGCTTAGTGGTCGAGTGCCCCTGAGTTCAATCCCTTGTACCCCCCAACCAAAAAAATTAAAAAATAGATATATTTCATCTTTTCTAATGACCATGATAATATATTGTATTATCTTCTATAATTAATTACATGTCTCAATTATTTACAATATTTGTTCTTAGAAACAATTCTCACATATACATACCTCACTGTACATTTTTTTTGGTGTGTGTGTGGTACTAGGGATTGAACCCAGGAGTACTGAGTCACATTCTCAGCCCTTTTTAAAAATAGAGTCAGGGTCTCACCGAATTGCTCAGGACTTCACAAAGTTTCTGAGGCTGGCTTTGAACTCATGATTCTCCTGTCTGAGCCTCCCAAGCCTCTGGGATTGCAGGCTTGTACCATTGTGCCCRGCTCCGTATATTTTTTCTTAAGGGAATTTTCTAGCAGCAGAATTACTGGAACATTGAGCAAGCTAAATTAAAAAGTTGCTCACACTACCAAACTGCCCTCTAGAGACCTTATATGAACTTACAGTTATACGATGTTACCCATTTCCTCATTCCACTGCCGATACTGGGTTTTTTCACTTTTTAATATTGGCCAATCTCATAAACAGAAAATTATATCTATTGTTTTTCTTTTGCATCATAATTATTAATTAATTAATTTATTTACTTATTTTGATACAAGGGATTGAACCAAGGGGCGCTTAACCACTGACTACTTCCCTAGCCTTTTAAAAATTTATTTATTTTGAGAAAGGGATAGATCAAACCCAGTGCCTCACACATGTTAGGCAAGTGCTCTGCCACTGAGCTGCAACCCCAGCCACAGCCCTTTTTATTTTTAATTTTGAGACAGTGTCTAAGTTGCTTAAGGCCTCGCTAAGTTGCTGACGCTGGCCTTGAACTTGCCATCCTCCTATCTCAGACTCCTGAGTCACTGGAATTACAGCCATGTACTGTTTTCACATATTTTTGAAGCACTATTTAAGGTGCATGAACATTTAGCATTGTTATGTCCTTTTGACCAAAGGACCTCTTTGCCATTATTAAAGGTGAGCTTTACCTTTATAAGATACTTAGCTTTGAAATCTATTTTAGTATTAACAATGCTCCCCCCCACCTTTTTTGATATTTTAATTTCTTTTGAATTAAAGTTACTTTTTGTAAGCAAGCTAGGAAATGGAATCAACCTAAGGACACTAGTCCTCTAGGGATCCAGGCCAAGTCTTGAGATCTTTAGCAAAATATAATTATTGTAGCAGGTGCTAGCAATAAGGTTATAAACTCTAAATAATAACCACTTATCTACAGTTTTCATTAGTAAACAGCCAAAAGTCCAGTCCTTAAAGGCATGATATATGGAATTTTTTTTTTTTTTCAGTACTGGGAATCAAGCCCAGGGCTGCTCTACCACTGGGCTACATTCCCAGCCTTTTGTTTTGGTTTGTTTTGTGGCTGTTTTATTTTGAGACAGGGTCTTGGTAAATTGCTGAGTTGGCCCCCACATGCCATCTTCCTGCCTCAGCCCCCTTGAGTTGCTGTAATTAGAGGCGTGTGCCACCACATCCAGCATGATATACCGAACATTCTCACCTACAAAGGATGGATAGMATGACACAAATTACATGCAGTCCAACCTATTGGAAAACGAGATCAGAGCTAGCCAAGGATTGCTTGTCAAAGTGTTTACATTTTGAAAACTCACTACCTGGCTTTAAAAGTTCCCTGTTATATACCACACTTTCTTTATCCATTCATCTATTGATGGGCATCTAGGTTGGAGGATCTTTGGATTGGCCAAAGGGGAGGATGGGGGGAGGTTATGGGGGGTAATAAAGATGGTGGAATGAGATGGACATCCTTACCCTAGGTACATGTATACGATTGCCCACATGGTGCATCTCTACACCATGTACAACCAGAGAATTGAAATGTTGCACTCCATTTGTGTACAATGAATTGAAATGCATTCTGCTACCATGTACAACTAAGTAGAACAAATTAAAATAATAAATATAATTAAAAGAAAAAATTTCCCTGTTGCTGTCAATAATAAATGAAAAATATTACAGGTTGTCCCACACTGATGTTTGATTTTTTTCGACATCTTCCACCAGAACTTGAAGATAAASATAAGTGTAGGGGAATAAGATACTTAAATAACTTAAAAATAAATTACTTAGTAATAAGAAATCAGACATACTGCATTCTTCCATTTGTTACAAGAACAAGCTGACAGTTAATATTATTTTAAAACAATGCTCACTCTACAGAGGGTGGTAACAGTAAGACTTTCCACTACAGGGTAACCTCTGCTTTCCCACACAATTAACATCACTATTCTTTCATGATAGCTATTCATGTGGAAAAACTGTTGAGCTTTTGCCAGATCCAGGACATGAAAAACAGTGTCATAATTAGCTAGTTTGTAAGCTTTGTGTACATTTTTGGAATGGACCCATAAGATCTAGCCATTGTTTTGTTAAAACAGTTAAGAACTGCAGAGTTCCTCAACCCTTCTCTATAGTTCCTGCTCAAAATCTTACAGCTGGGAACAGGCTATTTTACCATAGTAGGCAATGCACAATGGTAAAATCCTAGCAGTAATGCCAGGATGCCAATGATCAGGACAGGAACAGCCCTGTCAGGCCTGCCCCCACCCCTCCTTCAGTTTGCTGATGTAGGCTGACAAAAGAATGGAGCCTGTGATAAAAGAGAAAGATATCAACTGGGGTTGTGGCTCAGTGGTAGAGCACTTGCCTGGCATGTGTGAGGCCCTGGGTTCCATCTTTAGCACCGCATATAAATAAATAAAATGAAGGTCCATTGATAACTAAAAAATATATTTTTAAAAAAGAGAGAAAGGTGTCAATCAAAAATAGTATAGTGATCTGTGCCCATGCCTGCAATCCCAGTGACTCAGGAGGTTGAGACAGGAGAATTGCAAATTCAAGGCCAGCCTCAGCAATTTAGTGAAACCCTGTCTTAAAAAGAGAAAGATCTGGGGCCAGGCAT